TCTTACTTGTTTGTAGTTATTATATGTTGATCAATTTGTACTTGAGGAAGTTCGAGCTGCACGTGAAATTCCAATCTTGAAAGGGTGGACAGCAGCTATGCTGTCAACACGTGAGAAATTGGAACTCTTTAATGGGAGGCTTAGAAATATTCGTGCTAAAAATCTTGATGCTGGTTCTTCTAGCATGACACAACCTAAAATGGTGTTTAACTATAATTTACTGTTTTATTATTTTCCTTTTTATCCTACTTTTTTTTAACTTTTTTGTTTTTTATTTAGGAAAAATTCATTCCTTCTAAAGTGGAAACTCAAGTAGTTGCCAATAAGGTAACCATATATACTGTAATATTCTTTGTTCTTTTTGGAAATGACCAACTAATTTTTGCTCATTTGTCTAACGAGTAACCAATTACTTGCTCATATTTGAAATGAGCAAATAATTTATTACTCATTTGACAGATGAGCAAATTATGCAATTGGTTATGTGTTATAAGTAAGCTTGGTTTATATTTGTTAGGATATTTGCTTTCAACTTGTTCTAACTTTTTTTTTTTTTTTTTGTTTTTGTTTGTCTTTAGGAACAATCTGATCCAATTCGTACAAAAAATGAAGAAATTGAACAAGATCCAAAGAAGGTATTTATATGAGTTTTCTGGAAACCAATATTAATTTTTTGTTTATTTTTAGAGTTCTTCTTAGTATGATGCATAGAGGCAAGTGGCCATATGTGTGCTTTTGCATTACTCATATGCATGTCATGAATATAGAAAAAGTATTTTATGTAAATGTTGGTCTTTGGTTACTGCAATCTTGTGAAACTCATATATGATAAATATGTGGATATTTCTTGTGAGTAGGAGCATTATAGTTCTTAATTTTTTGTTCATTTGTCAAATCAACAATTAATTTTTGGCTCATTTGTCAAATGAGCAAAAACTTCAATGCTCATATAAAGTTCAATTTGCTCATTTTTATATGACTTTGCTAATTCCATATCCACTTTGCTCATTTCATATTTACTCTTCTCATTTATATTTATCTTATTTATGTATTTTTTTATTTTTATTTTTTTTACATAAATGCCTTATGGAGCTTGCAACAACATCTACAAACCTGGTCTTGGCATACATGTATTTCAGTCAAAAACATGAAACTGCCATCAAGTATTTTCCAAACAACGAGAAGATATAAAAGTTGAAGGAAGATGCCATGGGCATTTGTGATGAGCATAAGATGAGCTCCAAAACTTTGACCGAAGATAATAATCTTTCATTTAGCCAAGATGAAGAGTATTGGCAAGATCCAATAGTAATTGAAGCTTGGGATAGGTTTTCTCAGATTTCAAGCAACAAAAAGCATGTTGAATCTTCAATCAATGCAATGGTTGTTCATCCAAATGAATCGGAACCCATTGATGTTACTAAGATTGCTTCTGAAAGTGTTCATATAGCAAGTTGTATCCCTAATGTTGGATGTTCAGATAGGGCTGCTAAAAATGTGTTCAAAAAAATTGGAGATTCAAGTTTCAAATCTGCTTCAGGACATTCACGTGTCAAAGGATCTGGAACTCCTACATTCAGTTTAGGAGTCTTTTCTTAAGAAACTGATTCCCCCCCTAGCAATGCGCCTACTGAACCTGTAGTTGCTTCTGTCAGTGCACAAGTTGGTGCTTCTGTTGCTGATGCTTCTCAAGCTGTTGGTGATGCTCTGATTGCTAATCCTCAAGATCTCATTTCTGATGCTCAAGAAGCTTTAATTGTGCATAAGAGAAAAGGTGATACTGAAAAGAAGAGTTCTATTCCAAAGAAACGCAAACCTCAGCCATCAGTGCTTCTTAGATCACCTTTTAAGTCCCGCATTATGATAATTTACAATCCATTATCACCAGTTCAGATGAGCGTCTTGAGAGCAATGTTTGCTGATGATAAAAATCATTTGTAAGTATTTTTTTTATTTATAGAATTTATTATCTTGTACATTAACTTCCATTTGTTTTAGTCATACTAACTTTCTTTATTCTTTTTATGCAGTGAACCAGTATTTAATGGAGAGAATGGTCTTTAAATTTTGAGAGTACATCTTGAGAATCTTTATGATAAATTTAAAGTTGATACAGAGATCATTAATGCTTGGTGTAGCATTCTGAATTATAATGAGCAGTTTAGAGATCCAAATTCTCCTGCTCGTTTCTTTTTTGACCTTAGTGCTACCGTAAGTTCAAATTCTTTCATTTATTTTGTTTTATTGAATTATTTTGTTTTTTTGTTGTAATTATTTTTTTTTCTTTAACATGTAGGACTGTCTTATTCACTATGAGATAGATTATGTTGCCCATCGGAATAAGATGTTTTTTGTGGTTGCTGAGAATTTGTACATGAAATCAGTTGTACCACACAAGGATATTCAACTTTTTTTCTTCCCAGTTTATGAAGAAGATCATTACTATTTGGTATGTTTTAACACTACCACACTGAATGGTAATATCGAGCTTTTTGATTATAACGAAGATGCTGGAGATCATAAACAACTTTTAAAACATTTGGTATGGCTTAAAAGTTAATCTTTATTCACATTATGTTTGTTTATTTTACTTGAATGATTAGATTTTATTATGTTTGCTTTTTTGATGTTTTTATTTTTAGAGAACTGCTTTTTCAAACTTTATTCAATGTGAAGGAAATGTACAGAATTTTATTTTGGCAAATGATATCAAGCGGATGCAAATTTGTGTGATTAATGGTTCATGGAAGTCTTCGGATAAAAATCATTTGCATTGTGGAGTTGCAGTGATGAGACTCATGGAAACATACATGGGTTGTGCAAAGTGGGATCATGGTTTGAAGAAAAATAATGTAAATTCTTTGCTCATTTGAGAAATGAGAAATTAACTTTTTGATTATTTGCTAAATGAGCAAGAAATTACTTGCTCATTTATCAAATGAGCAAAGAAATGTTTGCTCATTTGACAAATGAGCAAGGATTTACTTGTTCATTTCATAAATGAGCAAGGATTCCTATCAAATGTTTACTTTAATTTTGAGGTCTATGGTCCATTAATCTTGCAATACCGTAGGCCATTGCCTTACAAGTTACAACTTCAACTTGTGGTGTTACTTTTACATGTTTGCTCATGTTATTGAAATCTCCTTAATTGTATAGGGTTTGATTATGTTATTTGTTTTGCAGCTGATAATCTTGACTAAACTTCGTGAAAAGTACACCCTGGGAATAATAACAAGTGAAGTGAACACTATTCAATCTATTAAAGAAATTGCTCAGAAGAAGAAAAAGCAAAGTAAAGTTTCTGTTGCTGACAAAGAAGAAAATGATGAAAAAGAAGAGCCTAAAGAAGAAAAAGTTCAAGGAAGAAAGAGCAAAAGACTGAAGAAAGCTGAATGTTAGGGAATTAAATAGTTAGTAGTGATGATTTGTCTTTTTTGGTTTAGGGAATTGGGTAAATTAAGATTTTATCTACTTTTAAGTAGTCTTTGAATGATGTAAAACTGATTTATAAACAGATTTTACCAATAGAAGCCTACCCTTTTTTACTATAGTGATGATTATATTTGAATTAAAATAAAATCTTTTATTTGTTTTTACTTCACATACCTTTTTATATACAGCCGTTTTCATTTGAAATATTCGTTCATTTGTTAAATGAGCAAACAGATGTTTGCTCATTAAATGATAGATCAATGAATTCTTGCTCATTTGATAAATGAATAAAGAAATGTTTGCTCATTTCACAAATGAGCAACTATTTTTTCTCATTTAAGAAATGAGCTTTTACCTTTTTTGATTATTTGCTAAGTGAGCAAGGAATTACTTGATCATTTGATGATTGAGAAAAGATATGTTTGCTCATTTAACCCAAGGAGAGCTGATTTTGGATTGGGAGATGAAACAAGAGTGCAATTGTTCCAAGTTCATATAATAGCTAATTTGACAAAATGAGTAGTTAACTATTTGCTCATTTGATTAATGAGCAAGGAATTGTTGCTCATTCGAGAAATGAACAAATATTTAGTCACTCATTTGAATATGTTCTATTTTCAATTCAACAATACTGCAAAGATTAGTACAAAATTAATAATATATTATTAAATATAAAAATTCAACAAAATCTTATATGTATATAAAAGTACCATTACACTTTTTTTGGACAATTTCTAATATCATGATGACTCAATTCACCACAACCTCTACATAATCTCTTCTTTTTTTGGTTTTGCTCTACAACCTTTTCTTTTTCTCCCTTAAGCCTTTTTGCACTTCTACCTCTTGTTTCAACATTTGACACATCAGTCTCACTCGCTTTCTTTTTTGACGTCTCTTCATTTGATACATGAACTCCAGTTCCTTTATTCTTTGAAACTTTTGGAGGTTTGACAATTATTTCAGTTGGCACACTAGCACCAATCAATAGCTCAATGTCTTGCTCTTTGCTTTTTTCACTTCCAACTGTTGTTTCATTATTTCTTGCAATCCTCTTTGCTTCCAAATCCTTTCTTATTCCTTGAAGATTTATCACAAGGTCTTGAATATCTTCATCTTTGCCTTCTTCCAAACTTACACAAGTGTGTATCTCTGAACATAAATAATTTAACAATTTTTTCTTGTCTATTATATTAGCACATTGCTCCAACAGGTTTCCTCCTAAGTCAAAAATTGGTTTCTTTAATGCCATAGTAGTCCACCTGTGTAGCATATACTGCTCGGGAATGGTTTCAAACCTTTTTGCTTTCCAAACCCATATCATATGTCTACATGGAATTCCTTGCCTATAAAATAGCTTGCAAGAACATGTGGTGTCATAGTTAGTTGGATTAAACACAACATCAAATTTCTAGTCCGATTTCCTTCACTTACTGTTGCAACTTCCAATTCATTTTCTTTCTTCAATTCATCAACACCACAAGAAAAACAAGCAATTTCAACCTCGTATTGAAAATCATAAAAGACAGAGTTAGTATATAAATGTGAGGCATGCTTTTCTATCCCTAGTGGTGTTTTGCACTCAGGATATTTGTGCTTTGAATCATTATCATTCTGACCTTGTGTCTCTGGGCATCAATTGCAGCTTCGTATCTCAAGTAAAACTCAACAAGTGACACATGAGGATTGATAAAGGAGCAGAAAAAGTTGTTATCACTTTCGGATCTTGATGTTGTACGCATTATTCCTCCAAGGAACACATCTTTGAAATAGGACGGAATCCACTTGTCTCTTATCTTGTACATATAACCTAACCATTCATGTTGTTCCAAGTGGTATTCAATCATCACCTTGTTCCACCTTTCTTCAAACTCAGCAGGTTCAATTTCATGGTGCCAAACGCAAGCACATAATTTTTTTAGGAAACCAATTTCTTCTTGCATGATTGATTTCTCCACCTTATCTGGTAACTTTTTCATTATGTGCCACATACAGAACCGATGTTCACTCTTCTTAAACACACTTCTAATAGAAATTTTCATTGCTGGATCCTGATCTGTAATCATACAATTAGGTTCATTCCCACCCATTGCCTTGAGGAATGATGTGAACATCCATTCAAATGACACGATATCTTCCTTTGCTATGAAACAAGCAGCAAAATTAATGCAATTCTTATGATGGTCAACGCCTGTAAATGGAGTAAACACCATGTTGTACCTGTTTACACATACAAAATAAAGTTTAAATGAGCAAATAATTTAATACTCATTTGAAAAATTATCAAATAATCGATTGCTCATTTGTCAAATGAGCAAATAACTCAATGCTTATTTGTGAAATAAGCAAACAATTCTTTGCTCTTTTGTCAAATGTGCAAATAATTGAATGCTCATTTGTCATATGAGCAAATAACTCAATGCTCATTTGTGAAATGAGCAAACAATTCAATGCTCATTTGTCAAATGAGCATATAATTCAATGCTCATTTGTCAAATGAACATGCAATTCAACGCCCATATACATACTCTTATCAAAGAATATTAGACTTATGGGGATATTCAATTTTCACATAGAAGTAATGAGCAATTAAACAAATTTTATTTAAAACAAAGTCATTAATTTCAGCCATAGCTAGTAATAACACATAAATGAATTACCTATTTGTTTGGTATGTGGTATCAAAGGATACCATATCACCAAATAGAGCATACCTCTTTTTACAAAGGAGGTCTGCCCACAATGCTCTACAAAGGCAAAAATCTTCATCCATCTCAAAATCAAAGAAAAAAGCACTCCACATCAGCTTTTTGTTGGTAAAGTTATCCACGAACATTTGAGCATTGCTTCCTTGAATGTATGCTTTTAATTCTCTATGAAAATTTTTGAAATCTTCCTTAGATGCACCAATGTTTTCATATCCTCCAACAATTTCCTTCATCATTCGAAAAGTTGTAACGGGACCAATATTCACCTATTTAAAGAACAAAACAGTTTGTCACATGAGGAAATAATTCAATGCTCATTTTTAAAATGAGCAAACAATTCAATACTCATTTGTCAAATGAGAAAAAAATTATTTGCCCATTTGTCAAATGAGCAAACAGCTTTTATTAGAACATACAGAGAATTCATGAAACATAAGAGAATTTGAAACATAAGAGAATTCATGAAACAATTCAATGCTCATTTGACAAATGAGCAAAAAATTATTTGCTCATTTGTCAAATGAGCAAACAACTTTTATTAGAACATACATAGAATTCTTGAAACATAAGAGAATTTCAAAGTGTTACCTTAGAATTATTCACAATTATTTTTTTGTGTAAAATGTTCATTTTCCTTCCTTCTTTTTGGAATAGATTGCAGCTAGGTGTATAAAGTGCATGAGTATGTCCCTCATGAAATTTTGTCACTATGAATGTGTTATCATCACAATTCTTTAGGACAATATGTGTCTTGCACCCAACATGAGTAACGAGTCTCTTCCTTTTGATTGAAGATTTTTCTTCATTGTTTTCCCCTTCCTTGTTATTTAAATCTTTTTCTACAGTAGTCTTTCTTTTTTCTTTGTATCCTTCCTTATTGCACAAGATATACTGATATTTTAATTCTTTGCTTCTTCTTTGTCTTTTAGTTGTAGACTTCCTTGTATTGAAACCAGAAGCAAATGCATAGCCTTTATAAAATTCAAGGCCCTCTTCAAGATTATTAAACTTCATCCCTATAGCTGGTTTCAACTCATTGGGGCATATTGGATGCCATTATTTTGTTCCTCCAGGAGTGATCAAAGGTGCTACTTTAGGAGAAACTACTATTGTAGGAGTAGTTGGCACATTTGTGATGGTACTTGATTGACTCTCAACTTGTTCGTTGTTGCTCATCATTTGTGAATATGCACCTCCTTAAACACACTTAAACCCTCTTAATAATTAGAACTAAAATCAGATTCTTAAACAAACTTACACACACACACACACATAGATACACACTTACACACACACACACACATACATACACACACACACACTCAATAATTTCATAATCTATAATTATAACTGAAATCAGTTTCTGAAATCAGAATTGCAAGCAGAAAGAGGAGGGGGCAGGGGGGATAGGTTTGCTCATTTGTCAAATGAACATGCAATTCAATGCCCACATATATAAACTCTTACACTCAATCACACTCACACTCACACTCACACACAGACACATTGTTACACTCACTCACACACACACACACATACATACACAATTCTGTATACTTAGTGTTTTTACAAGCTAATATTTGCAAAACTTATAGATCCTTGAATTACTTATGAATGTCATTAATATTTTCTCATTTTAATTTTAGTTACCTCATTTTAAATGTTCTATTATACATATTTAGGTTTTCTCATTTTAATTTATTTGCTCATTTTGAATTTGATTGAAAATAAGAACATAATAAAAGCAAAGTTCAATTTGCTCATTTTTATATGACTTTGCTCATTCCATATCCACTTTTCTCATTTCATATCCACTTTGTTCTATTATACATATTTAGGTTTGCTCATTTTAATTTATTTGCTCATTTTGAATTTGATTGAAAATAAGAACATAAATAATTGATTCAATCACTATAAAGTTTAATCTAATATTATTAAAATCTCTATCAAATTAATCAAACCTAAATAATTGATTCAATTCAATCAAATAAATGATGCAATTAAACATTCAATTCGATTAATGTAATTCGAAAATTAACATGTAATTCAATTCGAAAATTAACATGCAATTCCAAATTTTTCAGAGATGTAAAATCAAAATATATTGAATATTCAGATTAACATGCAATTCAAAATTAAAATTACGAACAAACCTCAATGGTGGATGAAATTGCGACCGTTGAAATTTGCAAAAAGAAACCGTTGAAAATTGCAGAAAGAAACCGCTGAAATTTGCCGAAAGAAGAGCATACTCAGTGAATCGCCATTGATAAGTAAATCGCCATTGATGAGCTTTGATTTGTAGACAGAATAGAGGGGAGAGATAAATTAGATGCTGTAAGTTAGCTTGTAGGCAGGCTTATAGTCTCAGCAGTTGGATTTCATCTAATCTAGGGGCTGAGATTTGTTCTCACATAAGGTGTGGGTTCTCACATAAAGAGTGGTTCTCACCGGATCCCGACCCTATATATATATATATGTATATATATATATTTTTATTGCTTGATCACACCTTTTATGCATGTTTAAAGGGAATAGGTACTTGTAATCACGCTTAATAAGATAATTAATAATCTTGTTTAGGGTTAATATGATTATAATTCAAGTGATCACCAATAATAGTTTTGTCTGTGCATTAATCACTACTACAAAAAAAGGGAATACAGAACTGTTAAAATAGGCCTTATAGAACGCCTCGGAAGCGTTCTTCTGCTAAGCGATGTGTAAAGTATACAGAACAGGTGCAAGAGGCGTTCTATATGTAATAGAAAAGAGAACAGTTGGCTTAGACAACCGTTCTCTTTTCTCTGTCATAAGCTCATTAATAAACCAGAATAAAAGAGAACGGTTGGCCGAGATAACCGTTCTCTATGATGAGCTATTTTTTTTAAAAAAAAATTGTAATTTTGCACGAATCACGGAGGTTGCATATCTACTAATCTACAACATCAAACAATAATCGAAATGAATTGAAATTGTAAAACTCAAGTCAAATACCAAATTTAAACAAATTTTATTATCCTTTGTATTCAATAAATTACATTCCAGGTACAATTCGATACAATTCAAGTATAAAGAAAAAAAAAAATCGGAGAACATCATATATACTAAAAAAGGATTCATGAAGATTGATCTTTATGATTTTCTTCTCCTTTATATCCGATTAACCTGTTGAAATAAAGAAACAAAAAATTCACATTAATCACATAAACAATCACAAAATAGAACACAAATTGAAGATCTTCAGCATACATCATTTCAAAATTAATCAACAAACACAAAAATTCATATATTAAAATCATAAAATTGTCACATCAATCGGATATATGAACAATATCCAAAATGAAAAAAAAGAAATAGATAAGGAAATTAAAAGAAGAACAAACAATACATGCTAATTAACAATGAACTAAGAGAAAACCATCCCAAAATCACTACCCTCATCACAACCACATATTCAAATAACAATTGATGCTCATATCATTTCGACATTCAAATCTAATTTTGAAGAATCGATACTCATATGCAATCTAAAAAGAAGAGAAAAGTTTACCTTCTTAAGGGAATTGTTGATTTGACAAATGCCACAAATGTGAATGGTAGTGAAGAATTGGCGATAGAATGCAAAGGAGGAAGTGTGGCTTCTGACAACCCCACGAAATAATTAGGTAGCCGTAATCATCTAGGGAGAAAGAAATCGAGTTTTGTGTTAGTTCCTTGACTCCTTGTGTTTTCTTGCCATTGTTGAAACTCTAAATTAGGGGTTTATTTATTTATTTTTTTTACTAGGGACAATATGAGTTTTCTGCAATTAGAGAAGGTGATGGAGAGGAGATAGTGTTTTTAGTTAAGGTTAGTGCAATGGAGAAGCTATAAAACCGGATCTGAAGAAAGGGAGAGAGAAAGATGAATGAAAATTTTGAAGTGAGGGAAGAGGAGGAAGCATGAATGGCGGTTGAGCATGAGAGGTTAGGGAATATGAAAGGCGTTCAAATACACAACGAAATAGGGTTTGCTAGTTTTTTTTTTTAATATGTTAATATCAAATAGAACGGTTAATACGAATGGTGTTCTATATAGTAAATTAACAATTTAATAAAATTAAAAAATAAATTAAATGAAACAGTTGACTTAGATAGGCAATCTATATAATCCTAGAGATCGCCTATCTTAGTTAACCGTTTTGTATCTTGCGTTTCTTATTCTATTTTTTTGTAGTAGTGAATATTCAACCAACATAGATTAAATAGGTTTAGGGTAAACCTATTGATTGCATGTTAGTCAGAAAGCGCACATGAATACGATTAGAATAAAGTAGAGGCCTATTATTAGGGCATGTTCAATCTTTTTTAGGTTGGATTTGTACCTTCATCCCCGAACTACCAGTCATGGTTCCAGACCTATTGGAGTTAACGATCTCTTGGATTGTTAAGGGTTGTAACCTTCACCTTGTGAACTGTTTACAAGTTCCTAAAACTTGTTGGCGACTCTTTTGCTCTATCTTCTTTCCCTTTGGACGCCACTGTATTTAGTGTATGATACAGTGGGTTCAAGTTTGGGGTAATGCTTGAAATATTCCCTACAATGATGAATTTGATGAATTGTATTAGTTATGGATTGTGAGTAGTTTGCTTTTAGGGATGTGGCGAAGCATGTATTAGTGAGGGATCATACTTAATTGGGGGGGGGGGTGTTTAATTGATTTAGCATTGTTATTAAATTGGTTGATTGATTTTGTGCATGTGTATGGATTGTAAGGAGTGATTAACCTTGTTCTTCATGCTATTTTTCATTGTTTGTCGACATTGATATGAACCATTGATTTGTATATCTCATTTGTCGATTGAGCTTTGTTAGTGACGTTTCTAGTTAGAGTCTTTCGTAGTTTGTGCTAGTTAGACCTTAAGGAGATAGCTTGTTGAGCTCTTTTGATTGCATTGTCTATCTTCCCTCGCAATACTCGAATTAATCAATCTCCAACCCGATTAGTGTGTGTTCATTCCAAGTACATGTGGATCCTAAATCCCTAGTGTTTTGATATATTGTTTAACTTTGTTTGTTTAGTTTAATATTAGATAACCTACACTACCTCTTACACTTCGAAGTAGCTTGACATTAACCGTAGCAAACTTCCCTCTTATTCCTAGTGGTTTACCCGAACATGACCTATTACTAGGTGTAGGTTTGGTTAAAAACTTAGTTTTATTGGAGGAATTTTAGTTTCCAACGACCTAGAATCTAACCTCCGTCAAAATGGCGATGTTGCCGGGGAATGGCGTAGTTGTTTGCTATTATTTTTGAGTCTATTTCATTTTATCTCAAAAATATTTTTCTCTTTTAGGATACATTTGTAGCCGTGCTACTAATATTTTCCTTTGAGATTGTGTGCGCAAGTGATAATGGGAGAAGTCCCAAGGGTGAGATTGAAAGAGTTGGGAACTCCAGGTGCATATAAGTTTGAGAGCGGTATTACTCTATCTTTAATTCCAGAAAGTGACTTTGAAATCAAGCCGGAAATGATAACCTTGATTGAAAGGCGACAATATAGTGGTGTAACAAATGAAAGTCCCCTCAATCATCTTAAGGAATTCGAGAAATATTTCAACACAATAAAGGTTAAAGGCGTCCCAGAAGACTTCATAAGGCTTAAGCTATTTCCTTTCTCTCTAATTGGAAGAGCTCAACAGTGGCTATACAAGGAAGTGAAGCCTAATTCCTTAAGAACTTGGGATGAAGTCACTAAAGGATTTCTTTCCCGTTTCTTCCCTCGAAAGAAAACGGTGGAGACTAGAGCTTTAGTTCAAAGTTTCAAGCAAAGGACTAGTGAAAGCCTCTATGAAGCATGGGAGAGGTACAAAGAATATGAAAGAGAGTGTCCTCACCATGGAATCCCCACTTACTAAATAATTCAAATCTTTTATGGAGGTTTAAGTCCTCAAGGGAGGTCGAGTCTTGATGCCAAAGTCGGAGGCCCAATAATGAACAACACGAAGGAAGAAGTTGTTGATATTATTGAACATGTAGTGAGACACTGCATATATTGGCAAGA